ACCTGACCAGGGATACTGGGAGGATCATGTGAGATAAAGCATGTGAGATAAAGCCTAGATCCCAGTATCCAGGACACTCTCCATAAAGGTAGTCATCAACAATGACATGACCGACGGAGCTGGCAGCCACAGAGGAAATCAGGACTGAAGACCCTGATGGGCTTTGATCTTTTCATTAAGTATTTTTTTATTTTTAATCATAGCACTCAACCTGGAGAGGGCAGGGTGGAGCAGGCACGGCTGGCAGGAGTGTGAAAGGACACAACTCCTCTGGAGAGTGCTTTCCCCGGAACCTTCACGGCGCCACGTCTGGGGAATCTCTAGCATGGAAACGCTCAAAAATGCATAAAAAGCTTACTCCCAAAATGTTAATCCCAGAATTATTCATAATAGCAGAACATTGGAATTGAGCAACTATTATATAAGGAAGTATTTAAGAAAATTTGGCACAATGTCAAATAAAAGATATGTAGTTATGAAAATCATATTTACAAAGATCTCTTAATGGCTAGGGAAGTGTTTATAATGTTGTGAGAAAAGTAGGCTACAACAAAATGTTGCATAAGTAAACATAATTATGTAAAAAGCCTGTGCATAAAGAACAGTGTACCATATCACAAAGTGTTAATATTGGGTTATCTCCAAGTGATGGGATAATGGACAGTTTTCATTTTCCTTTTTTGACAGTTTCTAAAATGAGAATGTACTGCTCTTCTAATCAGAAAGAAAACTCCTGTTGTTTTAAAGGACATTCGATAACGGGTAGGTTGTTCTTCGAGAAAGTATCCAATGTTACCTAGTGGTGACGCCCCATCGGTAGCGCCTGACGTGTGCCTGTTGAGCACATCCCTGAGCTCCTTGGTTCCCTCGCTGGACCTCAGCCGTCTCCCCTGTGAGGTGGGGATGCTAATCTCCACCTGTCTGGAGGCAGGGGCCAAGTCAGATGCGATCTGGAAGGCTCTTCCAGCCCTGATGCCTTCTGGTCTCTGATGATCTCGCAGCAGCCTCTTTGGTAAGGCCCCTTTCCTCAGAGTGTGGACACATGTGATTAGGACGTGGCGTCTAGAGAGATGAGGAAGGCGGAGGCCATGTGCTTCTCCACTTCCTGGCACTAAGCAGGTGACAGTAGGGGACTAATTGAAGGGCCACAGCAGCCCTAAGCCGACCAGGCCAGCTGGAGCCAGCTCTCTGGGCAGCAGTTTCGGGAAGAGAAGGGACCAGGTTCTGTTCTTTCTGCTCACGCTGTGGCCCTGCCAGCTGTCCTTCACCACAGGGCCATTTGGTGCTGGCCCACAGGGCTTCTCAGAAGGAGGGCGCGTCTATAGCACTGTTCCTCTAAAACCTTTGAGGTGCAAAAGCCCCATGAGTAGAATTCCATGTCTGCATTCCTGGGCCCTCCCCTTCTCCCCTCGCTCAGAGGAATCAGAGAAAGATCACATCTTCTGTTCCGAAAACTCAGTCTGGGGCCCAGGAGCTGGAATGGAAATTAGGAGTCCACATTGAACCTGGTGGGACAGACAGGCTGTCGCAGTACAGACACCCACAGGTGGCCTCCTACCTGCAATTAGCACCACAGACACCTGAGGAACTGTCAGTCATGTGACGCTGCGTGGGGCTAATCTTGAGGAATGTTCTTAGCAAGCTGCATGTCGGCCTGGGACGAGCCAGGAGTCACGATGTGAGGGCACAGGCGTCCACCTGCACTGCCCAGATAAAGTCACCGAGGCAAGCCAAGCAGGTGTGTGGAGTCCAATGGCCTGGGTCACAACCATGCCCCACCTCCTACGGGTCAGGTGACTGGGAAAGTTGCTCAATCACGTTAAGTGCGGTTTCCCATTTATAAGGTGAGAATCATAGGGTTGCTGTGAGGATTAGATGAGATAATGCGTGGGGAGGGCGCACCCCAGTGCCCGGCACGCAGCAAGGGCTCACGAAATGGCTATCTTCATTATGAAGCTCTTCTCTGGGCTCAGCACCCCTGTGGGCAGTGAGGGGGATACAGAGGTAAAGCCACATCCCTCCCCTGATGCAGCAGGAAGATCCCCAGGATACTGCTAAACAGCTAAGCAATGGGTGATGAAATGCAAAAGCGACGGGGAGGCAGCAATGCTATTTATAATGGCGCTGCTCTGGAAGCCGCCCAGATGCCCGGCAAGCTTGTAATGACTAAGCAAACGCTGAGCCGTTGTGACATGACAGTCCACTGCAGAGCTGCTGGGAATGGCAGGCACACCACTGAGGTCCCTACATGGACATGTGCCTCTGAAATAAACGTTTCCAGAAGGAAGTCACAAGATGGCGTGTGCACACGGTCTGCCATGATGGGTAAATAGATATGAAGCCACCCAGGGAGGTCAAAAAGGAACTGGTGGGATGGAAGTCGTTAACTATAATGTTCATTGGTTATTTTTTTCCCCAAGTTGCTTAAGAACCTGGTGTTTTAAAAAGATAATGATGCAACTAGGAAGGGTTAGAGGAGTTCAGAGAAGGGAGTGGGGTGTGGGGCAGAGGGCTGAGCAAGGGTTCACAGAGAAGATGGTGTTTGAACAAATGTGGAAGCATTTGTGGGTTTGAATAAAGAAGCAGAGTTGCCCCAATGGGACAACTTCGGTTCCCCTCCGGCACCAGTTGCTTGGGCCAAAGAAAATGAGTAAAATGCAATATGAGAAGTGGATATGGGAAATCACTGTGTGGCCTACTGTCTCTGTGGGGAACAGGCGAGTTGAGGGAAAGCTGTTTGTATATGGAGCATCAGGGCTTGTCTACACCGGCTGGTGGACTACCAGCTTCTCACCTGAGTCCTGCCCAGATACCTACATGTGATGGGGGTTGGGACCGGTATGGGTCAGGACCCTGATTGGCTGTATCTTAGGGAATAGAAAGGCCCATGCCAGGGCTCTCCCTCACCTAGAAAGTTCGCATCATGAAGACACACAGGAGCCTCCAAATAGGGTCCCAGAAGCACCAGAAAGAGAGTTTGGAACTAGCTGAGGAAATTCACCTGCATCTTGCCAGGTTGCTGACTGCACCTCATGCTGCTGCAAACCGTGATGTGAATCTCCCGGGCGTTTCTGGGCACTGTCTCCCTGATTCAGTTTATGGGGTAAGTCAACTGGCTGTTGTTTGGGCCTGGCCAGCCTCCAGGCATCAGCTCTTGGGTCTAGCTTCTGTCCTCCTACCGTGAACCTGGAGGCATCATGAAAGGGCACAGAACAGACACTGGCAGCTGATAGATGTGGGTTTGAGTCCTGCCTCTGCCGCTTAACTGTGACCTTGAGCAAGTCTTCAAACCTCTGAGCCTCCAGTTACTCATCTCTAAAATGGGGGATGGTTAAGCCTCCCTTGCGGGTTTCAGGAGTAGCAATAACGTGTGTAACTGTTGGCACAGATTCGAAGCTCATTGAGTGGTGAGCGCCGCCCTGCTCTCCTGCTGAAAACATGCTGTGATGGAAGAGTTCCCACTTTTCTGAGATGACCATACACCAGAGACACAACCTGGAGGCGAGTCCTCAGGTGCCTGGATTTGGAGTTTCCTGACCCAGCCTGGGTCAGAGGGGTTGGTGCATCAGAGATGGGCTCCCTCTGCCGGCAGCTAAGGGTGGCGCTCAGGGCAGGTAAGGGGGACAGGAGGAAGTTGCAGGTAAAGTTTAGTTGCAAGTGGCTTCTAGAATTCCCACCGGAGCCCCTCCCGAGTGGACTAACTGCTTAGTGCATAGTAAGAAATAGACATATTTGGTCTTTGCCCCTGGTTCCTGACACAGAGCTCCCACATCCGTTGGAATTTCCTGGGTGAAAGGAGCATCTTTTGTTCCAACGAGGCGACTCATGGTGGGCCCCTAGACAGCTTCAGGATGGGGCAGAGACCAAACTTGATCAGAAGCCTGGAACTTTCAGCCCCATCCCCCAACCTCTGGGGAGGGGAGTGGGGCTGGAGACTGAGTTACTAATCCATCATGTCTATGTGATGAAGCCTCCATAAAAACCCTAATAGCACGGGGTTCCAGAAGCTTCTAGGTTGGTGAACACACACATCCACATGCTGGGAGGGTGGCACACCCCTACCGCACAGGACAGAAGCTCCTGCACTTGGGACCCCCCAGACCTCAGCTATGTATCTCTTCATCCGGCTGTTCATCTGTATCCTTTACGACAAACTGATAAATGTAAATTCAAGTGTGTTCCTGAGTTCTGTGAGGTGTTCCAGCAAATTATCACGGGATCTCTGACTTATAGCCTACTGGTCAGAAATGCAGGCAGCCTAGGACTTGTGAAATGGCCTCTGAAATGAGCACAGTGCTGGGAGAATGAGCCCGTAACCTATGGTGTCTGGCCTAACTCTGGGTGGTGTCAGAACTGAATTGAATTGTTGACACCCAGTTGTGTCAGGAGAATCAGAGAATTGGTGGTCGGCACGGGAAAACACCCCACCATTGAAACCTTCAAAGTGACCAGGAGCCTCCCAGGAAGCAAGGGAGGCACGGGAGGACAGCCCCCCAGGAAGGGAGGGAGGCACGGGAGGACAGCCCCCCAGGAAGGGAGGGAGGCACGGGAGGACAGCCCCCCAGGAAGGGAGGGAGGCACGGGAGGACAGCCCCCCAGGAAGGGAGGGAGGCACGGGAGGACAGCCCCCCAGGAAGGGAGGGAGGCACGGGAGGACAGCCCCCCAGGAAGGGAGGGAGGCACGGGAGGACAGCCCCCCAGGAAGGGAGGGAGGCACGGGAGGACAGCCCCCCAGGAAGGGAGGGAGGCACGGGAGGACAATCTCATTGATGAAAGGCCCCAGGCAGGGGCCTGAAGACATATACAGGCCTCCCTCTGGCATCAGAAGAGCCCAGACCTGTTTTTCCCTTTGAGCCAGGGTCACTGGGGCACTTTAGGGGGTCCCAACAAGTCAGCATGCTTCTAAACACCTTTTTTCTAAAACTGTAATTCCTAAATCTTCAATACGGATGTTGCTGGTTCATTAAAAGATCATAGATTATGTACGTGTTATGCTGTTATTCCAGGTTTTCAAAGGACGAAATATTACTTTTAATCCTATCTTGAACACAACTTTAAAGAGGTCTAGTTCATTCTTGTTTTCCTCAAGACATGCCAGCGAGACTCTCAAGGCTCTCTCACTGCTTGTGGCACCGGACGGTCACCCGGCATCTGAAAGAACTGCCAAGAAAGGGAGAATAAATGTTGGCATCAACCTGCAAGCCCACCATCGAGCATCTTCTCTGGTCTCCTCCCCGCACCGAGGCATTTTTCTGCATGACTTCTCCTCACATTGGCTCAGCACCTCGAACCCAAATTGTCCAAAAGTAAACTCGGGGTTTCTTCCCATCCCTGGCTGCCAGCCCCACCCGACCCCTCCCAAGGTTCCGCGTCAGTAAATGGCATCGACATCCATCCAAGTGACACAAGCAAGAAAACTAAGTCATCCTTATCATTTCCTCTATTCTCACCACCCAAACCAACCCATCACCAAGCACCAACCATTTTACTTCCTAGTATCTCCCAATCCAGCCCCTGCTCACCACCTCCACGGCCTCCATTAAGGCCTTTCTCTCTCGCCTGGACCACTGTGGTGGCCACCTTTTTGGATCCAGTCGGATTCTCTTCCAATCTGATCCCCACGCTGCATCTATAGCGATCTTTCCAAAATGCACGGCTGATCCTAGCGCTCCCTGTTTAAAACCCTCCAAGGGCCTCCCATTGCTCTCAAAATAAAAACCAGTTCTCTAACAAGCCAACAAAGCCCCTATTCACATGCCCCTTGTTCACTGTGCTCTGGCCACACTGGTTTCTTTAATTCCTTCTGTGCCCCAGCGGCCTTCTCAAACAGGCCTTTGCACACGCTGTTCCTTCCATTTAGAATGATCAAATGCCACCACAACCACCCCTTCATCAGCTAGCCCCCGCATGGCCTTTGGATCACTCCTCTAGCATCATTTCACCGAAAACCTCTGACTGCTCGGTCCAGGTGGTTCCTTTATAACAAATCCCCCTTTAACCTTATTCTTTCCCTTCCTCAGAGCATGCATCTCAGTTTGCAACTGCGTATTATTAATGTGATTGCTTGATTGATTTCTCTGCTCACTATTGCACCCCAGCACCTTAACACAGCGCCTGACACTAACAGCAGGTTCTCAACAAATATTGGTTGAACGACTGAATGAGTGAGTTGAAGTATTGGGGCCTTGAATCATCCTTTGATATTCTCAAATTTATGACATCGCAAAATAGGTCCAGGCCACAAGTTCCACATATCCCCAGGGAGAGGTTCTTATCAGAGGGATGGGGTATCGTGAAGCTGGGAATAACAAGAAGGGGAGCCGTTATGCAAATGGGTGGTTATTCAACGTCAGTCTCCTAGAGGAGAGGTCACAGATTGAGAGAGGAGTCGAGGAGGCGGGTCGCAAGGCTTTGAGGATCCATCCAATTCCGTGCGGAGTGTGAGCCTCTGGTTTCGGAATGGCCCCTGCAGTGGCTTTGGAAGCGTGGCAGGGGCACTCTGGGTTATCACAGGGCAGAAAGCCTCCCGCGGGTCCTCACTTGGAGGGCCGGGGGAAACTGAAAGGGCTTCACTGTTGAGTGAGTGCTGTGCAACCAAAACTTTTCTTGCTCTAATGCCAGTAGCACCTCTGTTGAGAAATACTGAGGGGAATTTGGGTGGGAGAGGGCATGATACCATTACTTGTCACCCTGAACAAGCCCCGCGATTCTAAGGAACTGAGCACTCGATTCCATGAAAAGAGGAAACGGCTGTTTATTAAGACACAGAGAACAAGACAGTGGCACCAGCAGCTGCCTCATCCGGGGTTTACGAGTCCTGGTGCCAAAACAAAGCAGGACCCTCACAGTCTGGACTATGGCTGGCACACATGCACACTCACACACATGCACACATATACACATGCACATATACATATACACATGTGGATGGACTCTGGTTGGCAAGCACATACACACATATAGGTGGGTATGGCCGACACACATGTGGGTGGATGTTGCTGGGACACACACATACACACACACACACAGGCGGATGGACTGTGGCTGGCAAAGGAGGTGGTGTTAATGGGTGGTCCCAGATGAGGACGATCAGTCCCCACCCTCCTTGCCATGGCTTCTGTCTGGGAAACTGGGAGGCTTAGGGCTGGGTCTCATGGAGCCGCCAACAGGATGGATGCAGATCACCAACTCCAGCTCCCTAGGCAGGGCTCCTCTCTTACTGGTTCTGAGGGCACAAGATGCACTTTGAGCAGTAGGGGCATAATTAGTATTGGCTTTTCTGCTCTCTCTTGCATGGACAATTAATTAACGCCACGAGGAGGCAAAGCTATTTTATGGGCTAAGTTGACCATTTTCTCTCTAATTTATGGTGAATTCCAACCAAAACAGCTCTAGTATACATTTTACACCTTCTTTCCCAGGTGAAATAATCATAAATTATATTCTTTGGAAAATTCCCTGTGCTCAACTGCCCCTGGGTTTCCCTTCCCTGCTTCTCCCCAAGATCACCTGATCATCAACAGAACTGCTGAGAAGTCCCCAACCCGTCCCCTTGTGATCAATAGAAACTTACAGTTTAATAGGGTCTAATAGAATATAGTATAACATATTAATTCTTATAGTCTTTACAAGAATTCTGCTAACTTAACTGCCTCGTGTTCTTCAATAATCACATTGTTCTTTTTCTCTTAGAACAAACGTTATAAGAGAATTCTATATTATAGAATACTCAGAAAAGCACAAAGAAGAAAAATTGAAAATCACTCCTGCCTCACCATACGGAGAAAATCGTTGTTAATTTTTTGGTGATTCTTCTCGTCCAAGCATATATAATATATTCTTTTTTATATAAAATGAGATCATAGGATATATTTTGCTTTGTAAGTAGCTCTTTGCATTGAGCAATAAATATATCCATCACACTTTCCATAAGGGGATTTTTATGGCTGTATATCATTACATTGCATGGATGTCCCAAGACTCACTTAACCAATCCCCTTATGCTGGACATCTGTAAGTGCAAGTGATGGTCAGCTCAGCAATTCTCCACTAGTTCTTTTCCTTAGAATAAATTCTTGAAAGTGAAATGGCTGGGTCCAAGGATACAGGTTTTGACACTTATTGCCAAATCGTCTTCCCCAAGTTTCCTAACAGTGTATGCCTTCATGAGCAGTGTGCGCGAGTGTCCGTCTCCCCAGACACCTCTCATCAGTGAGTGTGGTTTCTTCTTGGCTCTTTAACTTTACATGCAATGGGCCATCTTCAATACAGTGAAATTCATCTTCAGAATTCATCACCCTGGGAAGCCTACAGATACACAAAAGACAGCACTCCTGAAATGATCAAGGAAGCAAATGATATATTTAAATGTAAACTGAATGCTAAAATAGTTTTTGTAATCTAAATGATAGAACAACAGTATTTTGCTGACATATTATTGATGAAAATTTCAAGCATGGCCTTGCCCATATATTTAAAATAGCCTATTAGCCAGTAACAGTGTCCCCATCACTCATCGCTCTTTCCACTTAGTTGTTGGTGGTATAGACTCTATACTCTACGGTCATGTTTTCAAATATTACTCCAAGCTTTACTCTCCCACAGTCTCATGTCTCCTAGCTCTCATCTAGGGTCCCACAAGCTTGTAGCTTTGTATGGTTTCCCTGAGCTAGGGAAGAACAAGCGGCTCCCCATCTAAGACCTTCCACAGAGAGCACTGTTGAGATTCTGCCATCCATCAAGGTGAAGGCTCCGTCTGGGAGTGCGTCTGCCACCTCCATAACACTGACTCAGGCTAGGGAACAGCCAAGGTATTTGATGCTGGAAAATACCGGTGATTCATCTTCCTCTGGAAGGCTGAGCAAGACTGTGGCTCTCTCCTAAGGTGAAGGTGCTTCATTTGAAATTCACCAAAAATCCCCAATGTCTCAAACAGTTCCTTCCGTCTGAAAAGTTGGATAAGACTTGTCACATTTGGCTATTCACCTTTGGCTGTAGCAAGTTCCAGCTCTGGAATTTAATCATCATATTGAACAACTAATTTCTAAATTGGGCCTGTGATGAAGACTGTTTTATAAGAATATTAATTGTTGGAAGTTTGAAGCCAGAAAATACATGACAGCCTAGATTTTATGGCTCGTTCTAGATAATGGTGACACATTACTGAGAAATACTCCTGCTTCCTAACTCCATAAATTGGATGTTGTTTATAATAATGCAGCTAGAGCAGCAACACTTTATCATAAGAGCTGCTGTCCCCATGGAAAATCATTATTCAGTGCATACTTGATAAATTGGTCATCATTCACAGGCAGGAGAGAAATTGATGTGGCCCATTTTATTTACAGGGGAACGGGCAATACATTATCTTCTCATTGGACTGATGCTTTTCCTACCAGAAGGATTATGTTGCCTCCTGCATGTTGCTCAGAGAATTTTGTCAATGTCATTAGTCTTAAAGGCTTGAAGGCCCAGGGCATAGGAATAATCATTCCTAATCTCAGAATTGTTTTCACTGGAAAACCTTGAAAGAGATTTTCAGATACAAATTTAATCTCTTACTTCCCAAATGGAAAAACAAAGAGGAAATGATGGACGGTGATGAGTAAATTTGTTCCCCAAAGCTGGTCAGGTGATGATAGGCAAGCCACAATGATTTCATCTGCTCTTTAAATATAGGAAGACAATGCTTAGTGGTTGTTTGGTAGATGGCGGGCAGCTGAGGCTGGGCCCTTCATCCTCACGGACATGAGTCCCCACAGGGAACTTGGCAACCTCTCCGTGGAGATTAAAATCCTTCTCAATGGAGAATGTGGCATCACGGCAGGGGACAGAGTCGTGCTGTGGACAACACACTGCAATGTGGGCTGCCCACTCCTGCAAACTCTGGGTACCCCACCTTGGGCGTGAGCACCGTGGCTCCGTCCACTCTGCTGCTGCCCTGATTGCTGACTCCATTTGTCTGCTGTGTGACGGAGTGCTCAGCGTGCTGGTGAAGTGCACAGGAGCTAAGTGTCCTCTGAGAATGGCTGTCAGCCCAGGCGTGGGTGGCGGGTCACCCTCACTCACAAGGTTCCCAGCTCCTGGGTGGCTACTGAGACTCTTCCCAGCTTCTAGTGCTTTCCGAGGTTCTGGTGATTTGGCTTCCAGGCCACACAACAGCCTTAAGTTTTTCAGCCTCTCCGGAGTTATTCACACTGAATTAATCCACAGGTATTTATTGAGTCTCAACTGCATACCCAACACAGTGCTGTCGAAAGAGGTGGCACAAGAAGGATTATGGATAGAGCATCAAAATCACATTTGCACACTGTTTCGATGTTGTCAGATGCTTTTACAAACACTGTCTCCAGGCGATGTGACAAGTGATTAAGTATGAGCTCACAAGACCCCACTCCCCGCTGAGCGTGTGCCCTGGGGCTGCTTCCTCAGTGGCTCTCGCATCAGTCTCTCTTCTGGAAAGTAGGGACCCCACTAAAGCCTGTGCAGCTGGGTCTCCACAAGGATCAAATGAGAAAATCCATAGGAAGGGTTCATTCAATGTTGGCTGTTATCCTCACGCTATCCCTACTTCACAGAAAAAAAACATCGTAGGAGGGCTGCAGAGAGCAGAATAGAACAGCATTTACGGTTTGCGTCTGCTTTCACATGCTTCATCTCTGGTGATT